CTGTGGGTAAGCCTGAGAACCCTGAGCCCTAAGTGGGCTGCTTCTGAGTAGAGAAGGCCAGGCAGGCCTTTTTAACAAGAGACACCCAATTTCCTAGAGCTAGTGGGAGCAGAGCTGGTGCTGAGTGCTCCCCCACCAGGTGCCCCCTTTTGGCCCAATTTAACACCAAAGCTGGGCTGTGCCACTGTGGTCAGCGTGCCGACATGGTAGAAGAGGCCACCACTAAGGTCACAGCAGTGTGTGTGAGAAGGCAATAGGCTCATCTCTCCTGGCTTGAGGGTGAGTAGCCAAGGAGAACTGGACAGCCTAGCTCAGCGTCCAGGTCATAGCAAAGATAGCATGAGAGAGACATCAGCTGGGAAAAGAACAAGAATCTTCAATGTCACCAGGAGCAAGGTCACTGTGCCCAGGCAAAAGCCTCAAAACAGAGAAACATAACTGTTCCCAGGTCCCCAGAGCAGCCTGCCAGAGTCAGGAACAGGAAAGGCAAGCATCTGGCTCCGTTTCCCCATGGCAGACATGGGTTCTGGAGAATTTCTATCCCTTCATCTGCTCTAGCCCGCAAGTCCCTCACACTGGCTGACTGGATGTGGGGCATAGGGGGCACCTTTTCACTCTTTTCTATCTGTAGCTGCTGCAGAACAAAATGTCTTCCACCACGCCAACCCCCGTGAACAGAGGCCTTTCTGTTAACGACAATCTGTATCTTAGGTATAAACACCCCATTTCCCCATTTTAATATATCCACACTCTCTCCTGACCCCACCTCAGAAGTGACAGTCCTCAGGCACAATGGCTTTCAGGCCCACTCTTGAGACCTGCCTATGCTAACCCCTTTCCCACCCTCCAAACAGGAAAAAGGGAAGGAAAAGAAAAACTCAGAAACCTGAAGATTGTTTGGAATTTATTCTCTTAAATAAGAACGGTAACATTTGTTAAAAAAAATTAAAAGCATAACACCTTAGTTTCACAGTAACGGCAAAAACAAAGTTACACAATTAAATTAAAAAACTCACAAAGAAACACACCAAAAACTCACAGCACAGATTAAAAACAAGGGCAAAAGTAAAGGCTTTAGGGAAGGCCAGAAGCGGACAGGTGATGCGTTCCTTGGCACAGCGCGTCCTCCCTTGCTATGGTGTCTTTGTACCATGGCCGTGGGAACCTGGCTGGCTGCCACCCCCCCCAACCTCTACCCTGACCTCCACCCCAAGCTGAATGGCCCAGGAAAAAGGGAACCCCTTAATCCGCTGGTCAGGCCTTCAAGGACATGCTGAGGCCCATTTAGGGGGGACAAAGAACGGTCCACTGCCCTACAGAGACACACCGAACACCAAGAGACAGAAGGAAGCTGCAGTACCTAACCCAGTGATACACACACCTGGAAGCAAAACAGAGGGAAGGGGGGTGGGGGTGGAGGGTCTGCTTCTCTGTGGTAGTCCGTGAGCAACAGAACCCCTGCTTTCCTAGTCTGCTCATGAATCAATGTACTTTCTGAGGTTGGGGCCGTGTACTGCTCATTTTCTGAGATACCCAGCCCCTGCCCCCAAAGTCTCCACGTCCACACCTGTGCTGGCTTGCTCTGTTCCCTCCAAACCCTGACCAGAACTCTAAGCCAGCCCAGTGACACGGTTCCCCACTGGAAAAGCTCCCTTGGTTTCCAGAACCAAGGAACAAGAAGCTTCAGAAACAGCTTCATTATTATGGTTATAATTATTTAGGACACGATAGATAAATATCTACTTGTATATATGAAATTACACACCTATATAAATATACATGTGTATATGTATAAGTATTTACACATCACCATCAAACTCTTTTTTTTTTTTAAACTACGACTCTTGGGGGAGGGCTGGGGAGTTAAGCTGGACTGCACAATTCTCTTTGCTCTACTAAGAGGTTTTCCAGAAATGCCTATAAGGGAAGAGGGCTTGGGAAGCAGTGAGATTTCCTAACTTTGTCCTGACAGGCAGGAACCCCAGGATTGCACGGAATTCCTTGTATCGCATGGCTATTCTGGCCCATTTAGCACCCAAACTATAGAACCTAATGGTGATCATGCAAGGGTTGTCTAGGGACAGGGAGCAGGCATTTGCCTCTTGTTAACTGCTATGTGGCTTTTAAAGGTAAGACTGTCTTTTCCATCCCATCTCTGTTGCCAGTATTACAAGAAAAGCTTTTTCTTCTCTTCCCTTATGATTCCCCATAACCTTTATGCTTCATTTTTTATTATCCTCTATATGAAATGTAAAGGGGATTCTTCTAAACAAAGAAAGGATCCAAAAAACCTGCAATTGAGGGTCTTATGTCCAAGGACAAAATATCTCATTTGGGGTTTTTCTTTCTCTACCTGTTGTCCCAACTTTTCTTAAAGTCAGGGCAGGTACTAGGAGGCCAGGGTAGAAAATCTGTGCCAGGTCCACTAATCTATAGCAGTAAGTATACGAAGCTTGGAAACAAAGCATTTACAGATTTTGGGAACAGAAAAGAGGGTTTCTATATTAAAAGCACATGATAAACAACAGTACTGTAAACAGTGTCTGCCTCCAAACACTAAATTAGCAGCAGTTACAGATTAGGTCACCAGAGAGAGACAACACTGCAAAGCAGGCCTGGAGTAGGTTCTTTCAACTTGTGAGTTGTTTGGTTTTTTTGGCAACAGCAGTAATTTTGGCATAAGGGGGAAAGCACATAAGAGAAAAGAGGGCACTGCCACAAACACAGAGGTGGCCCAGAGCAAACACACAGCAGGGTTAAGTGCCAGCTACAGCCATAGTTTTTCCAGCTCTGCCTTCTGGGGGATATGGGTCTAGGAGGATGGCTTATTTATACACAGTGAAATCAAGTTCATTCATTTACAGCTTTTTCTTGTCTAGAGTGCAGGAGAGGAGATGTACCATGGATCTGGGTTAATGACTGTTATCGAGGACACGTTTCTGGGACCCTGAAATACCTGAGTTTTCTGAAGCTTTTCAAAAGGAAATTCCAGTTAACTAATCAAAGCTTTAGTTTGAGATTTAAAGAAAGACATCCCTATCAAAAGAAAAAAAGAAATCTACTTCATGCCAACTATAAAATACCACCCATGATTCTGTTCCTTTTCTGTAGAGGCTAGGAAGAATTAGACACCTCGTAGGGGAAGTGCTGGGGCTTTGGCGCATGTTCAGACTCAGGGCTGTCATTTCCAAAAGCCCAAGTCCCCAGAGGCAGATACTAACTGAACCCCATTAGCCCTAAGCTGCATTAAAGTGGGGGGACAGTGCCTGCCTCATTAATGTTAGGGATTTAACAGGGATCCCACTGGGATGCACATCTTGAATCCCTTGTGCTAGAATAGGCAAGTCACCTTTAGAATCATGAACCATAGGTGCTGAGACGTCCTCAGGGATTTGATTCTTTCTTGGTTGAGTCTTTAACTACATTGTCAAATGCTTATCTTCTATCCTTGCTTTGTAGAATATTCCTCTCCTTCTCTACGGATACTTTAAATCCATTATGCCTTCAAACTAGACAGTAAGAACGGCAAACTGAGCCACAGGGGAAAGTGAACAAAACTTGGCTTGCTCAGAAACGACCTGAACTTCATTGTGTTTAAATTTTTTAAAAGAATGTTCTGTACTTGATACTGAAAAAGAAAGTTTCATTTCTCTGAGTTGTTTTACTGAGTGGCCAAGTTCCTTGGGAAATCCATCTCTGCTGGAACAAGACCCAGACTGATGAGGGTGTGCTCTCACCTGGTCAAATGAACATTCTAGACCCCAGAGCCTAAGTCTCTGTCTAGATCCCTTTGGTGATTTTTTCGCTACCAGCACATCCCCCTTGTGCTCTGAGAGTGTCAACTGCAAAAGGCTGCCAGCATTTCATGGGAAAGACAGATTATAAAGGGTTTCGAAGCTATAGGTTTCAAAGTCATTCGTGGCATAAACATTGCTATAAAATGTTGGTTCAATTCACAGGGCACTTAAAAAGCTTCCCTGGATTTTAATGTGGGCACACATAGGAGCAGAAGCTGAATTCACCTAGCTCAGCTGGGGTTTGCTGGGCCTTAGCCTCCAAATCGCTGCCCTCTCAGGGCACATTCTCCCTTTCTCTAATTCTTAAGCACAGGGAAAGAAGCAACTCTGAAAACCTCTCATTTGAAAGTAGAGTGGATAATTCTTCTCTTTTCCCATTATGGAAATTTCACTACCAACTCCTCCACAGTTTCTAGCATTAGCTGATAGTCTCTAGTTTTTATATGGTAATTTTCATGAGTTTGTAAATGGTTGCTTGAGATCTATCTGCTGTGAAAGAAAAAGTGTGAGAAGCAGAAACATGGCCTGTTGACTTCCTCTCTCACCTACACAATGACCCTGGGTTGTAATAGAGTCTGTGGCTGCCCTGGGGGTATTGGGACCACCCAGCAGTTTGTGGAACTGGGGACATATCTTACAGGCTGGCTTGACACGGAGCAGAGAGAGGCAATTTTAAGGAAAAAAAACTACAATTCTTCACAACAAATCTAATGTCCATGAGCCCATGAGTTAAACACCAGAATAAATGTGTTTTCAGAGGTAGGGATAGTGTCATTCATTTCCTGACACAAGGAAATGATTAGTGGAAATGGAACAAATTAGGGTTTGGTCCTCATTAGAAGTTCAAATGCCCCAAAGTGATTAGGACAGGGCATGACCTATAGTGGTTACACATCAAACGGAAGTGCAGTGTTAGCTTATGTAGATACCTAAATAGGGAGTGGGATGCAAGAATTTCAAGTGTAGGTGAACACAAATCCAGATCATGGGGCCTTATTACAATTCCATGTTGTCCAAGGAGTCCAAAACAAGGAGGCCCTGGGACTCTGGCAAGCAGCCTGTTCTGAATTCCTGTCTACATGGATGGGGCCTGGACCGACCACCACAGTGTGTCTTATGGGTGCGGGTAGGCTCCCGGGCCCCAGCAACAATACTTTGAGATTGGGAATGGACATTACTGAAGCTCACCAGATGGCGCCCCTACTGGCTCACGGTCTGCCAGCGCAACTCCCCTCGGATTTGTACCAGCACCTCCGACAGGCCATAGAGAAAGGGGACTCCGAACGCAAGCAGCTGGCACATGAAAAAGGAGTCCAAAGGGTTTTGGGCCACTTCATGCCCAATCGAAGAAATGTTGCTTTGGAGGTGCTGGCTCATCCCCTTGGCCTTGTCACAGAGGCCGAGAGAGTGACGCACCACCCAGCCAAACAAGGAAGTGAGGCTACCTGGGGTTCTCTCAGCAGGGCTGGCCATGGCACTGGCCCGTCCATTTGCGTCCACAGTCGGGCCATCCTGCAGGGCTTCTCTGGCCTCCTAGGAAAGTCCGCAAGAAGAAGAAGAGTGACTGACTGAAGCACTAAAATCTCAGAAGGCAATGGCCCCTGCCTGGCTAGTTCGCTGCTCTCACGTCAATCCAGACTGTATTTTTCACACAGTCAGTCTTTCTTTAAAAATCCAGGACAGACTTCATGGGGAAATTGCCAGGAGTCAAAATCTAGGTCCACCTTGGAATAAATTTCCTTTCCCTGCAAGTCCCTCTGCAGTCAACAAAAGCCTCTCCAGGACGGGTTAGTAAGCCTGCAAGCTGACAAGGTAACATCCTGTAGTGAAGGGAATACCCGGTTCACCTTCACAAAGACAAGTGGAGGAGCTACTCTCATTAAAAAAAAAAAAGTAAGAAGGAAAAAAGGTACTTAGATAAGTAATTCACAGAATAAAGAAAGTTAAAGGAATTGACAAGCAGAGCAGATTATTTATAGCCATGTTCCTTTGCGGGGTGTCCTTTTCTCAGAAAGATGCTTATTTACAATGACTAAAGTCTTCTTTTATATAAACAGAAGGGTCTAACATAATCTCTCAAATCTGACTCAGGTGGTGGATGGAACATTACCTTAGTGAAATGCAATATCAAGATTATACTCGAAAAGTTGGTTTCCTCCCCAAATGGACTGTGACTGTCTCTCAGGCCTTCCCATTCACAAGAAAGGCAATTTAGTGGCCATTTAGCAGGCCTGGCCAACCGCACCTCACCTGTCACCACACTAAAATGCACCTGCTGCTTCTCCCCCACTTACAGATGGATCATCATTACCTTTCCAGAGAGAGGAACCACTGCTGGTCTCTTCCTCTGTGCGGAGCCGGAGAGTCGATAACAGTAGTGTGGTTTGCAGTAGAATTTACCTGTAGGCAGCAAGAGGCCGGGGAAAAGGAAGTGAGCGAGACTCTTAATTCTGAACCTGACTCCTTGGTCTTAGCACACTCCTGTCTATCTCCTCTAGCCACAGGGCGCTGTCACCAATGCCCAGGCTTCTTGTCCCGGGTGGCCAAACCCTCCCTATAAACTTTGATTTCAGTCCTCTTCTCCCCTTTGCCCGAAGGGGGAGGGGGTTTCTTTGGGATATGTGAAGGCCATTGAGCTATCACCCAATCAGCGCCCAGAGCAAAGATGTGAAGCTTGCATGGCAGGGCCAGTGAACAAAGTGGCAGTGTGTGCAGAACAAAGATGTGGTCACATGGAAAGCTGCTACCATTTCTGGGGAAACCAAGAATGAACACAAGCGCAGGGTGGAGGCGTGAAGGCTGCAGCGGGTAGGGGAGCATTGAGCACTGGCTCTGACTGGACCCCCTCTGCTGCTCCCTTCTCCCGCAACCATTCACAAACCAGCCTTATGACCCCTTAGTGGGTCAGGATCAGCATTAAAAAACAATACAAAACCAAACCAAACAGTCCTGCAATGGACTATGAATAGAATGAATCAGAATAAAATGCATTAAAGTGCACAGTGGCATAATCAAAGTATTGGTCCTTACAGCTTTTAGTTGTGTCTACATGTGTTTATTGAGTCCTAATGTAACATGTATTTTCTTTTGCAGGTGTGGTCCCAAGTTTGAAAAACAATGATCTTGGCTTTTCCCATGACACCAATAGTGGGAGTCAGTCACAAAAGGTCATTTTTTCTTGGCTCTTTCCTTACTCCCACTTTAAAGAGCCAAGGCTTTTGAAAATTAAAGGATAGACCCTATTATAGAAACTGTTGAAACGGAGTAATCCCATTTATCCTTTTCATTTGCAGAAGGTACTCCTTTGACAAATGAACTTTCCTGTTCTCAAAGTTTAAATAAGAGAACCCAACCAAAAAACCAATAAAAAAGGTCAATGAAAACTAAAGTCTGGCTTTTTGAAAAGATAAACAAAATTGACAAGCCTTTACTATACTAATTCAGAAGACCCAAATAAGCAAAATCAGAAATGAAAGAAGAGACGTTACAACTGATACCACAGAAATACAAAGGATCACAAGAAGCTACTACGTATAATTACACACCAACAAGCTGGATAACCTAGAAGAATGAACAGAGTCCTAAAAACATCTAACATACCAAGACTGAATCATGAGGACAGAGAAAATCTGAATAGACCAATACTGAGTGAGGAGAGTGAATCAGTAATCAAAACTATCCCCAAACAGAAAAGTCCAGGACCAGATGGCTTCACTGGTGAATTCCACCAAACATTTAAAGAAGAATTAACAGCAATCCTTCTCAATCTCTTCCAAAATATTAAACAGGAGGGAATACTCCCAAACTTATTTTACAAGGCCAGCATTACCCTGATACACAGCCAGATAAGGATATGACAAGAAAAGAAAATTACAGACCAATATCCCTGATGAACATAGATGCAAAAATTCTCAACAAAATACTAGAAAACCCAGTTCAACAGCACATTAAAACAATCATTCACCACAACAAAGTGGGATTTATCCCTGGAATAACAAGGATGTTTCAATATACACAAATCAATAAATGTGATACACCACATGAACAGAATGAAAGATAAAATTCATGTGATCTCAACAGATGTAGAAAAAGCATTTGACAAAGTGTAATACCCTTTCATGATAAAAACACTCAAAAGACTAGGTTATAGAAGTAACATACCTCAGTACAAGAAAGACCATATACAACAAACCCATAGCCAACATCATTTGCAAAGGTGAAAGTTTGAAAAGTTTTCCTCTCAGATTTGGAACACAAGGATGCCCACTCTCACCACTCCTATTCAACAAAGTACTAGAAGTCCTAGCCAGAGTAATCATGTAAGAGAAAGAAATAAAAGGCATCCAAATAATAAAGGAATAAAACTATCTTTGTTTGAAGATGATATGATCTTACATGTAGAAAATCCTAGACTAGACTCCACTGAAATGCCACCAGAACTAATCAATAATTCAGTAAAATTGCAGGATACAAAAATTAACACATAGAAAGCAGTTGTTTCTATACATTAACAACAAAACATCTGAAAAAGTAAACAATCCCACTCACACTAGCATCAAAAAAATAAAATACTTAGGCATAAATGTAATCAAGGAAGTGAAAGATCAACACACTGAAAACTACAAGACCTCGATATAAGAAACTGAAGAAGATACAAACAAATGGAAAGATATCCATATTTGTGGATCGGAAGAATTAATATTATTGAAATGTCCATATTACCCAAAACCATCTATAGATTCAATGCAATTTCTATCAAAAATCCAATGGCATTTTCAGTGAAATAGAAAAAAATCTTAAAATTTGTATGGAGCCACGAAAGACCCTGAATAGCTAAGGCAATACTGAGAAAGAAAAACAAAGCCAGAGGCATCATATTTCCCAATTTCAAACTATATCACAAAGCTATAGTAATCAACATAGTATATGGCACTGGCATAAAAACAGACACATAGACCAATGGAACACCCAGAAATAAATCCCAGTTTGAGAAGAGAGCCAAGCATACTTGATGGGGAAAGGATGGTCTCTTCTATATATGGTGTTGGGAAAACTGGATAACCACATGCGGAAGAATGAAATTGGACCTCTATCTTACACCGCTCACAAAAACGAACTTGAGATGGATTAGATTTAAGTGTAAGGCCTGAAACCACAAAACTACAAGAAAACAGGGGAAAAGCTCCTTGACACTGATCCTCTCAGCAGTGATTTCCTAGATATGACAGCAAAAGCACAAACAACAAAAGTAAAATCTATAGAAGTGGGACTACATCAAAGTAAAAAAGCTTCTGCACAGTAAAAAACAATCAATAAAACGAAAAGGCAATATTTCTCCCTACAGAATGGGAGAAAATGCAAATCATGTGTCCGACAAAGGGTTAATTTCCAAATATGTAAAGAACTCATACAACAGCAAAAAAACTAACAACCTGATTTAAAAATGGGCAGAACTGAAGACACAGTTTTCCAAAAAAGACATGCAAATGTCCAATAGGTAGATGAAAAGGTGCTCAACATTACTAGTCATTAGGGAAATGCAAATCAAAACCACAGGCTATCCCTTCACACCAGTTATAATGGCTATCATCAAAAAGAGAAGAGTTAAGTGTTGGTGAAGGTGTGGAGAAAGGGAACCCTAATGAACTTCTGGTGGGAATGTAAGCTGGTACAGCCCCTATGGACAACAGTATGGAGGTTCCTCAATAAATGAAAAATAGGACTACCATATGATCCAGCAATTCCACTTCTGGGTAGATACTCAAAGAAACTGAAAATCAGGATCTTGTAGTTATCTGCAATGTTCATTACAGCATTACAACAGCCAAAATATGGAAATAACCTTAAGTGTCTGTCAATGAATGAACGGATAAAAAAGATGTGGTATATATACACAAGAGATTATTATTCAGCTATGAGAAAGAAGGAAATCCTGCCATTTGTAATAACTTGGATGGACCTTGAAGGCACTATGCTAAGTGAAGTTAAGTCAGAGAAAGACAAACACTGTATGATCTCACTTATATGTGGAATTTAAAAAAGACAAACTCAGAGAAACAGAGAGCAGAATGGTGGTTGCCAGAGGTTAAGGGGTGGGGAACATGATGAGATACTGGTCAATGGGTACAAACTTCCATATAAGATTAATAAGCTTGGGGATCTAATGTACAGCATGGTGGTTATAGTTATATACAGTATATATACTGTATTATATACTTGAATATTGCAAAGAAAATGGACCTTAAAAGTTCTCATCAGAGGGGCACCTGAGTAGCTGGTCACTGGTCACCTAAGTCAGTTGGGCATCTGACTCTTGATTTCGGCTTGGTTCGTGATCTCAGGGTCATGAGATCGAGCCTGCACTGGGCTCTGTGCTCAGCGGAACGGGGCGGTGGGGGGCACAGGTCTGCTTGAGATTCTCTCCCCCCACCCCCACTCGCGGGCACACATGTGTGCGCGCGCATGCTCTCGCGCTCTCTCTCTCGCAAATAAATAAATCTTTAAAAAAAGAAAAAATCCTCACCACACAAAAAAAATTAATAACTATGTGATAGGATGCAGATGGTACCTAATACTATGATGGTAATCATTTTACAGTTTATAAAAGTATAAATAAACACACTGTACACCTTAAACTTACATACAGTTATGTGTCAATTATATCTCAATAAAGCTAGGGAAAAAAAGGGGAGGACGTAAAAGTCAAAAGAAATAAAGGTGAGATGGCCTTCTTTCTTTTTCAGAGCTGTTGCTTTGATTACTACAACCTTCCTCTTTTCCTTCAAAGTAACTGACTTCTGTCTTCTTTCACCTGTACCCTGCCTCCCAACACTGACTAAATCTTTTAGAAAAATGTAGTTTATGGATTTCATAATTTCAAATAATATTCATACACATAGCATGTTTTCTGAAATAGAATTTCCCACTAGCTATTGGCACTTAACCAGAACTCAGAGACGCTACATCTATTGTCAGGAACACTGATAGCCAAAGGACCATCAATCTCACTGCTGATTTCTCTATGAGGGGAGTTGAATCATGGGTTATTTTTTTCAGCTTAGACACAATCTCTTTTTACAATCTGTAATAAACCATTTCACTTTTGTGAATGTTTTTTTAAAGATTTTATTTATTTATTAGAGAGAGAAAGAGAGCACAAGCAAGGAGAGCGGCAGAGGAAAAGCAGGCTCTCCACTGAGAGGACTCTGGGACTCCCAGGACTCTGGGATCATGACCTAAGCCTAAGGCAGATGTTTAACTGATTGAGCCACCCAGGCGCCCCTCACTTTTGTGAATTTTGGCTAAGATAAAATGTAATTAGGGCAAGACAAAATTTATTAGTGCTTGGATCATATGCTTCTTTTTTGTCTGTTTTGTATCTTATTCCTTATTTTTTTAAAAACTTATTTATTTGAAAGACAGAGAGTGAGAGAGAACATGACCAGGGTGAGGGGCAGAGGGAGAAGGAG